TGTGCACCACACAGTCTGGAAGCAGCCATTACTGTGTTTAATCTCACAAACTTGCAAGTCCCAGAAATATAGAAATTGGTCCAAAGGCACTGAGCTAGTAAGAGAAGAATGGACATTTAAACCTAATTCTTCCTAACTCCAAAGTCATCATCTTACTTCTCAAATTTGTTTAATTTTCAAAGCAAGAAAAACAGACATCCCATTGCCAATGGCATAGGTAATCTGTGGGTGAATAATTAACAATATGGTGAAATAAATGAGTTCTATTTAAATAAAGTTAATGTCAAATGTGACTGATATTACAGATTCCAAACTGATATTACAGATTCCAAATAATGTGACTACAAAGATTGTCAAAAGGCAATGCAGTTAGATGACTGAGGCAGACATGGTTTTTAGGTTCTGGAATTTTCTGGTAAGAAAATTCAGGAAGCACAAAGCGTGATAGAAAGAACTTGACAACTAAATCATGCTAAAGCGTCAGTATTTACTTTTGACACTAACTATAGAAAAAGTCCACCATGAAGAACTACATGTCAGGTTAAACAGACAAATCACATCCTCATAGATTTAAAAAGGAGAGTTTAGTTAGGCAGTGGGGTACAAGGGTGAACTGTGGGTGATCATCTGTATTTTGGAATGACAGCTAAGAGGAAACTGTCATCGTCTGGTCATACAAACTTGGGACTTGCCAAATGAATGGAAACATTTAAATTTACATTCTCAAGAGACTTTTCTCAGTTATTTTTTTCAACAACTTATACTAGGCCTTAGGGACTGAATATTATAGTCTTGGCCAAAATTTACGGCACAAGCATTTCTGTAGAAGCTGGTACTGACAGCATGTGCTCCACCTTGGCTCAATTTCTGCAATGTGACCAAATGGCATTAGAAAAATAGAAACAAGCTATAGAAACTCACTTATTTAGAAACATCGAAAACTGTTTATATATATATATATATATATATATATATATATATTTTTTTTTTTTTTTTAAGATGTGGGGTACAATTCAGGATTAGGTATACAAATAATCATTGTACAGGTAAAGTTTGGACATGCCTTTGAAGACATAAAATTTTAATAATTATTAATAAAATGTGTATGAGAACCCCAAATTTCTGATTTTGCCTATGTTTGTACCACTTCCAGCTCCAGAGGAGGCTGCCATTAGGCCCAGAAGAGAACCAGTGTGCTCTTCTGGGCCTGAGTTCAGCACTGTTATACGAGGCCTTCTGGGACTAACCTTATGCATCCTGCTCATCCTTTAAAAAAGCACTAGCAATCTGTATTTGATTTTCACTCATCCACAGGTAGCTGTGTGATTTATTATATTTCATACTTTTGTAAACTGCAGCCCTTTCAGATATCAATTGGAAGCTCATTGAAAAAACCAAGACATATATGTAACAAAACATACACGTGTCTGTGTGTGTGTGTGTGTGTGTGTGTGTGTGTGTGTGTGTGTGTACACAATGAGATTTTCTTTCTTTGTTTGCAAGGCAATTATTAAAAACCAGCTATAAATGTGTTGGAAAATGGGGAAATTTTCATAAAGAAAAAAGATGAGAATAATAGATTTTAAAACTGTCTACCTCTTTTTAAAATCATTTTCACATAATATCACTGGTAGGCAATCTACTGTAACATCTTTTGTAAAAATTCACTGAAGTATGTCAATAAAACAGACAAAATTCAAGTCAGGTTCCATGTCAAATGATAGGGTAGATTAAATGTCTAACATTTTTTCCCCCAAACCCTAAATGTTTAGTAATCTTTTCAGTGTTTCATCAATAAAGCTATCATATTATATGCAATAAAGTACTAAAAGCAATAGTTGAGTTACACAACTATGACTAAAATAAAACAATAATGTGCAAATATCTGATAGTTAAAATATTTGAGCATTTCTTTAGAATACCTGGAAATTATATGGGTCAGATGACTTTATCTGTTCATAAATGATAAAATACAGTGTGTGGTTTTACAGATTTACTTATAAAACTGTGACTGCCTTGACCTGATTATCAAAGCTATTAGACATTCTAGTGAGAAAAGTATAGTTTGAATTATATGAGTAAATAAGAACAACCCGTTGACTTGCAATAGCATTTGGAAATATAGATGATATGACGTGGTTGTTATCATCCATGAAACACAGAACGGGAGTCAAGATGCTCCGTGTACATCATAGTGTACAGCATGAGCTCCTGCCAACTCCTTACCAGACTGGTTGTGATGTTTCTGTGAAGGAGAAGATAAGATATGGAGAAAACCTGTAGAAAGGCGATGTATTGTCTCCAGAATCTGAGGAGGCCAACATTCAAGGCACTGTGAGTAGACTTGTTTGGTGTAAATGGTTTCAGAAGAAAAACAGTGTAAGATGAAGGTATGGGGGTGAGTAAAGTAGACTGTGAAGGACATTGTGGGCAAGAGTCCTGAACTTGTAGAAGGCTGGGTGCCAAAGAAGAGTTTTAAGACTCGGGATCATGAAGCAAGTTCTAAGTTTTATACAGATAATTTCAGGAAAGAAATGGAAAAAAGATAAAGCCATTGCAAGAGTAAATGTTAGACTCTCAAACTTTGTTTAATTTGAGTACCTAGAACAACCCTTTGTTTCGACTCTCCAGTGGAAAAAGAATTCACTAATAAACAAATAAATTACAGAAGTGGTTTTGGAGTAGGGTTTTGTGTTTGTGCATGCATATATACATTTTTGTTTTCACAATGAGAGGACAGAGAATACACATTGAACCACATCACAAGCATGTCTTAAAGTCTAGTATTTTGAAATTAATAAGGCCTAAATGCTTATGATGCATATGAATAGTTGTAAGCATAGGGTTAAGCAAACAATTTATAATAATTATTAATCTAAGCGAACTTTATAACAAAAAATGCACAGGAAAAATAGAAAATAATGACGAACTGCAGATAGCCAATTACAAGTCATCTTTCTCCCAAATGCTAAGGATTCTAACTACCTGACTGCAAGTACACAAAATAGTAATCTTGTAATGCTGCCAAAAATACATGGAAGTCACACTTCTTAATAAAAACTGAATTATAGTATTTGGAAAACCCCAATCACATTAATTTTATCTCAGTTTCAAATTTGAAAGCCTAATGATTCACAGTTAAATGAAAATCTATGGAATTTCACATCATTTCTAATAATGAATGAGCACATACTATGTGCCAGGCAGATTTTGAAGTGCTATGCATACATTTATCTCATTTCATAATTATAAGTTTCTGAGATAAATATTAATAGCATCTATCTTATAGATGAGGAAATTGAGGACAGAAAAGCACACAAATAACCAGGCAGTAAAACTGACATTAAAACCAAACATTCTAACTCCAGTTTTCACATTTTAACCAGACCAGATTGCCTCCAGAACTTGCATTTTCAGATCCATCCTAGACTTATCAGGAGGACCTAAGCTACTCACTAGCTGACTGCAGACCATATTCTGAGAATCATTTGTAACTAGGATGACAGCTCAAAATACTGCAGTAACAGTAAGAAGAGGAAAAGGGAGTCAAAGATGGATCCTGGAGAATTAAGAAAGAATCAGTAGGACTGGACTTGGTGACTCATTGTACACATAAGGTTGAGGAAGAGGCTAGGTGGAAGCAAAGTCTGGAAGGACAACTTTGGAAACAAGCAGGAACTACAAATGAAAAGAGCAAATTTTTGGTTTGAACTGGAGTTTGATGCCAAGAAGGCAGCTTGACAAAGCAGCAGGTAATGGGTGGAGAGGAGTGAGGAGAGCTGTCCCTATACCAGGCTGGTCTAGCTCTACCCCATATTAAATCATTCCTACTGAGAAAGTTACTAGATAAAGGATGGACATGTGGGGGAGGGGGGTGTTGGAGGTTAAAATAAAGTGAGAATCATCTCCCTGGCATGCTGGGTATGAAATCGGGTAAAACAAAAAATGAGACAAGAGGAAGCCACTAAAGCACACATGCTGGCACCTTTCCCTACCCGAAACCCACTCACCCATGGTGCTGATCACTGTCTCCCTTGTTTTAAGTTCTTTGAGTACCACTCCTATGCATGCCAATATACTGAAAGTTCTATAAGGGCCTGCATCTTGCTCATTTTATAGTTTTTGAAGAACTACACAATGTAAAGTTGTTTGTCCAATTATTTAGTCAGAGGTTCTTCCCACTTTTACAAGAAGTTAAGGAACTCTTTCACAGATGCAGTTAGTCCCTTTAGGTCTAAGGTTCAAGCATCATTAGGCTTTCTCAATGTAAGATATCCTCATTAATAGAATAAAATTCTAGCTTCATCCCAAGAAGTCAAGAGGAGGGAAAGAAAAGCAGTAAGGGAACAAAACAAACATAAGAATGGAAAGCACTTGCACTTATGTCTGGAACTAGTTATTAGTCATGTCAGCCTAATCAGATCAGTGGACTCCAGACAAAAGAATAAGATATTTTGGTTCAAGGCTCATTAAAATTTAGAGTGGTTAATTTGCTCCTTAACTTTAGGTAGCTAAAAAGACAGAAACAATAAAGGTACACAAAATAGACACTTCTTTTGTTTTTACAATTAAAAAAAATTTAAAGCTGCTGAAATTTAAAATATTTCAATTAAAAAATTTTGCAGTTTATTCTATAAAATAAAATCAAGATGAGATGTTTTAGAAAATAAAATGGACTTCAGCTGAAAGAAGTGACCAAACTTAGATGGATTTAGATGTACTGACCCAGTTTTTCAAACTAAAGTGTATGATATAAAGATTCCTTTGGAAAACACTATCAAAATCATTTCTTAATGATTATTACTTTTCATTTATACAAAGCATGCTCTTTGAGGATTAATTGTGAATAACTGGCTTTCAGTGTAGCTATAATGATGATTAATTAATTCACCTATCTGATATTTAGCTTTCAAATGCCTATAATGACATGAACACACAGCAGTAAGGCTGGAATTCAGGCTAAGTATTTAAAAAGCAATGACAAAGAGTAAAGTACTCACGATATGGCACTTCCAATGGATGCCCTGTGACATCACACCATCCGATAGGGTGGATGTCAGGACTGTCTGCCTCTACCCAGTAGTCGTACTTATGGTCCCAGCCATCAAAATGAATCTGCAAAGTGAGTTTTGAATAATTAGTGCTTAGCAATAAGTATTTCACAATACTTGTATCAAAATATTTGAATACAGACATATGAAGCCGAGATTGAAATTTTATTAATCACATTTTGCAGCTGAAATGATATTTAAAGTTTACTATTGTACATTCTTCTAACCTAGACAACAAAGGTGGGTGTACTAATTTTCCAAAGAAATTAAAGAAGTTGGTAAATAAAAAATTTGTCAGGGATTGATTAGAATATCGAGTAGGACCAATCCATGTTCTCAACTAAAGCAAATACTATCATGTTATTGAAAGGTCATTTTCTCTCTGGGAAACTGTCCTGTAATCACTGTAAGAACCATGTCAGTATCATCAACAGTAAGTCACCAACTTGCCATCAGTACACGTCTTATACTGATAGGTAATGCATGTATTAGAGTATAAGGAAGCACCAAATCCCTAAATCTCCACAAATGAAAGATTGACCCATCAGAACAATGGGGACAAAGACAGCAGAAAAAATATGCTTCTGGGGTAGATATATTTAAATATTTACCTTAAAAGCTATTAAGAAAGCAAAGTCTAAGTTATCAAAAACTCTTCTGGGTGGTGAGTTGGGGTTGACGGTAGTCGAAATCTAGCTGGGGAAGAGGGGGCACACCTCATCAATAAGGGTACCTGCACTCTAAATATTTGTATTTAACCCTGAATGGTATCCCAGAATTTTAAAATAAAAATTAAAAGAGGGAAAAAAAAGAAACTCTTCTGAGGAAGAGATAGTGCTCAGGCCCAGCAATCCTGCTGGAAGACACTCAAACAAGGCTAATTATCACAAGGCTAATTTACTTTGTATCTTATCTACATATTCCACACACATATGTACAGATTTAAGAATAATTAAATAAATCCTAATTTCTGAAACAAAAATCAAATACTTATTTCTTAAAATAAAAAATACTTATTTCTTTTGAAAAAGCTATCTGTTTCAATAAAAAACAACTGTTATAAACTTTTGAAAATCACATTAGAATTTAAAAAGCAAGATTCCTAGCACTATAATTAGCCAACTGAAATATAAATCTATTATGCAAGTCATAGGAGCAAAAAAAAAAAAAAGCAAAATTCTATGTATTAAGTCCAAAATAAAGTTCGATTTTTGTGTTGAGTCATTTTTCTAAACAAGTGGTTTTCAAAGTGTGGTTCTCAGACTTCTGACATCACCTGGGCACTTATTAAAAATGAAAATTATTGGCCTCTTCCTCATTCTACTGAATCAGAAATTTGAGAGGGTAGAGTCTAACAACTTGTGTGTTAACAAGTATTCTATGTGACTCTGTTATAAGCTAAAGGGATTAGTGTTCTTGGAAATAACTACCAAATTTGGTATATTTCTATCAAACGTAGGTCTCTGTCCATGACAGAGTGCCCTTTCACAATAATAACTATAAAAATAGACAAAAATGAAGTGATTTTTTTTTTAATGGACAATTGGTAGCACAGAAATGCAATCCCTATGGAAAAGAAAACAATCCAGATGAGCCCTTAATGTCAGCCCGGAGACAATTTCCTGATTGCAGTACAGAGAAGAGAAACATAAACAAAGCAGTTATGCTGTGCAGAAGAGATACAGACTGTAGCTTAGCTCTGATAAGACAGCTGGAAGCTGAAGGACAATTTACTGGGAGAAAAAAGAACTACAAAGAAGGTAACCCCAAAAATCTATGGGGGATTATTTTCAAGGTCTTGGTCAAAGTCTGGACTGCACATATGACAGGTTAGATTTCCTGAAGCCAAGCAGAGAGTAGCTGATACACAGGTGAGAGTGAAACAAAATACTGGAGGACACGTTACTGGGAGTGTTTTAAAGAGACCAGCATGGAGAGACCTCACTAACACCTTCAGAATTTGATTGTGACACTAAAAAGGCTACACTTTTGTGGAAAGAAACATGTCCTAGACTAGCCCTTTAAAAAGGCTAAAATCAAGCTCAACAAGAAATACAACCACCAGGAATTTATCAACCCCACCATTTTTTAAAAGATAAATACTACCACTGTACATGTATCATTCATAATGTTCAACATTAAAAAATGTTTTCATCACGTAAATAGAACAGTTGAATGGGAGCCAAACTCAATTTTTAAAGAAGTAGTCAATAGAAATAGACCCTGAGATGACCCACATATGGTAATCATTAGACAAGGACTTTAAAGTAGCTGTTTAAAAAAATGTCCAAAAATTTAAAGGAAAAATGGTCTTAATCAGTGAACAAGGAATCTCATAAAATAAATGGAAACTATAAAAGAGAAGCAAATAGAGATTCTAGGACTGAAAAGCAAAAATATCTGAAATACAAAAGTTACTGGATGGCCTTGGTAACAGATTAGAGATGGCAGAAAGATGAATGAGTGTACATGAAAACAAAGCCATAGAAATTATTACTTTAAAGAACACACAATTTAAGATTTAAGTAATGAATAGCGCCTCAGATACTTGTGTGATAATATCAACTCATCTAACACTCATGTATTTGATGTCTGGAAGAAAAGAACAGAGAAAGAATGAAATTGGAATAAAGGTCAAATAAGCCAGGCTCGGTGGCTCAGCCTGTAATCCCGCGCCTTTGGGAGGCTGAGGGGAGTGGATTGCCTGAGCCTGCGGCTTCGAGACCCGCCTAGGCAGCAAGACCTCATCTCTGCAATAAATCAAAAAATCAGCCGGGTGTGGTAGTGCATGCCTGTAATTCTGGCTACTTGGAAGGCTGAGGCGGAAGGATCGCCGGAGCCCAGCAAGTCGAGGCTGCGGTGGCCGGGAGCGGCCACTGCACTCCAGTCTGGGTGACAGAGTGAGACTCCAACTCAAAAAAAAAAAAGGTCAAATAAAACAACCACAGAAAGACTAACATTTAAAATTCTCTCTACTTTGGCCCAAAACACCAATTTAAAAGCTTGAGAAGAATGGCAAAACCCAAGCATAGTAAATACAAAGGAATTCAAAACTAGGCAAATCACAGTCAAACAACTGAACGAGAAATATAAAGGAAAATTTTGTAAGCAGAGAAGCACAACACATTACATAGAGGGGAACCATGACAGGAAAGTTGGCCAACTTCTCATCAGAAACTGTGGAGGCAAGAAAATAACAAAATGATATCTTTAAAGCATGAAAAGGAAACACAAAAACTGCCAACACAGAATTTTAAATCCTACAATAATATTCTTTAAAAAAAAACATTTTAAGATAAATAAAAACAGAAAAATAATCACCTATAGATTTGCACTACAAGAAATATTAACGAAAGCAAGTCGGGCTGAAGGTAATTAATTGACACCAGATGGAAACTGCTATTCACAGGTAAGAAAGAAGAGCACTAGAAATAGCAAAAACGTGGGGAAATACACAAGGTTAGTCCATCACTCTAAATGTAATCAGTTAATTAATTATGTAACAAGAAAAACAATGTGGTCATCTCAATGTATACAGAAAAAGTATTTGACAAAGTTCAATACACAATGACAAGCACGATGCTAAACACTCCCTGAAAGTAAGAAATAGAAAAAAAGCTCTCTCCATCTGATAAACTGCATCTATAAAATTTACAGGTAATATCTCATATTAAATGATAATTTATTGAATGTCCTCCTCCCAAGAATTGGTAATGAAGCAAGTTTATCTATTCTTACCATTTCTATTCAACATTTTAATGAAATTCAACTAAGCAAGAGAAAGAAATAAAAGGCATACAAATTGCAAAATAAGAGGTTAAAAACTGTATTATTCTCAGACGATGATTGTCCACATAGAAAACCATAAAATTTCTAAAAGAGCTTAAAAGTTACCAGAATTTAGCAAGATTTCAGGATTGAAAATCAATATAAAACAATCAATTGTATTTCTATATCCTGCAACAAAAAATTAGAAAAATATTAATTTAAGAAATTTTGCCACATTATTAAAAAGTAACAACAAAAAAAGATATTGGTGTGGATGTAGAGAAAAAGAAATGCTATACACTGTTGGTGGGAATGTAAATTAATACAAACCCTAGGGAAAAGAGTATGGAGATTTGTTAAAGAACTGAAAATAGAACCATCATTTGACTCAACAAACACAAATGAAAAGAAATCATTATATAAAAAAGACACTTGCACTCATGTTTATTGCAGCACTATTCACAAGATATGGAACTAACTTACGTGCCCATCAATGAATGATTGGATAAAGAATATTTAATAAATGTACACCATGGAATACAATGCAGCCATACAAAAAAAATGACATCATGTCCACTGCCACAACAGAGATAGAACTGGAGGCCACTATCCTAAGTAAAATAATTCAGAAACAGAAAACCAAATACAACATGTTCTCACTGGTAAGTGAAAGCTAAACAATGGTACACATGGACATAAAAGATGGAAATAACAGACAATGAGGACTCCCAAAAGTGGGGAGAGTAGGAGAGAGTGAAGGTTAAAAAATTACCTGTTGGGTACAACGTTCCCTATTTGGGTGAAGGGCACGCTAGAAGCCCAGACTCCATCATTACACAATATATCCATGTAAAAAAATCTGTACAGCACCTCCTGAATCTAATTTTTTTTCTAAAAGTTCCATTTAGAATATCATTGAAAAATAAAGAACTTAGTGAAACATCTGATAAAATAAGGAAATGCTATACACTGAAAACTCCAAAACATTCTTAAGGGAAATTAAAAGATGAGCCACATAAATGGAGATAGTCATCATGCCCACATCCTGGAAAACTTAGTATTATTATTACTATGTCATTTCTTCCCAGATCATTCCATAAATTCAACATAGTCCCACTCAAAAGAGCAAATTTTCTTTGTGTTATTGAACAAGCAGATTCTAATATTATGCACAAATAAAAATGACCTAATTTATTCAAAACAATTCTGAAAAATTAGTAAAATTACAGGACTCATACTACCTTATTTCTAGAATTACCATAAAGGCAAAGTTATTCAGACAGTGGTGTCCTGACT